GGCACCTGCAGCTTGCAAGATTGTATCATTCCAGGACTGCATCCTTTTCCTTACTTATCGGGGAGTAAATCCCATGGAATCCATCTCCTTACATCTGAGTAGGCATGTATTGATTGCACGGCTGAATATCTGAGAGAAAAAAGAAATTGTAAAGCTATTTGAGGTGTTCTCAAACTTTTCTAAACATGAGACCCAACCCACCTCTAGTCACACAGAACTAGTTGCATGCAACAATGAGATCTGTATGCCAGTCCACATGGAAGTACTCACTCAGCCTATTTAGTGGGGTTCGGATAGCTACCATGACCTCAGAGCCATCATAGGATGCTGCCCTCTATCTAGCTCAGTAGCATCTAACACTGGCATGGAAAGGTAAGAGAAGAGCTACTGAACTGGTATGTATCCTGCCCTGAATTGGGTCACAAAAGGAGCACTGGCACCATATTCTTCTATGGTAAAGAAGGTGAAGATGGAGACCAGAGAGTCTGTGCATGAATGCTGAACGTGTGCTGAAAGTGAGACCTGGCTCTGAAAAGCTCCAGGGTTCGTTCATCCAGCACTGCCAGGAATTGTGCCTGAGAACTCTGTTCCCAAGTATGGACTCTCCAGTTGAACTGTGGGCCCTTCCCAGCACTCATGTGCATCTGCTATACACGCTCAACGTTCCTTCCACCCACAGATATCCTACTCAGTTCCAGTAACCCATTTTCCTGATGACAATATAATTGCTCTTTGAAGAGGGGGGGGACACAGTAGACTAGAGTTTCAGCAAAATAGTGTGAAATGGCATTCTGCTATTGTTTACTATAGCAGACTTCTCTTTCGTGCTCAGCAAGGGCCGATGAAACATCTCTGAAGTTTTGATTGTCAAGAAGAATCCCACCACCACACAAAACTTGCATTCAGCTGTGAAGTTGTTGTGGCTTTGAGAAGCAAACTAGATATGGCACTGATCACATGATCGGCACTTGCGTTCTTGTTTATTTTAGAAAAAAGCAGACGTGAGCATCACCAAACCATTTTTTCTGTTTGTTTGAGTTATTTATTATATGTCATTATGGAACACTGCACTATTCTGCATGATAAAAGGTTCATTGCTAGCATTTTACCTGGAACCTCTATTGAAGATGTGCAATAGCTATAAAGCTATGCAACAGAGTCCTGCAAAAATAAGAAGATGCCAGTGCTCATCAAAGATAGAATGTCTGCCAAGAAAAAAGAAAAAGAAAAAGCCAAGTGCAATATGCAGATATAATCAGAGGGCAACGTTTAAATGATATTTTTTTAAAAACCATAAAATGCCTTTCACATTTTCTGTTAAGGTTTCCCTGGAGAATCAGAATGGAGACAGACTAAATGAAAGATGTTGGCTTTGCAGCAAAAGGTTAAGGTTGTAACAAGATGTTTTGATTTCCGTAACATGCTGTGCATGAGGCTGCCTTTGAATCATTCAGAAATTTCAAGAGGGTCAAAATGCTTCAGCCAGACTATCGACCAGGACTAATGAAGGTAGTATGTGACTCCCATCTTTTCAGTAGCTTCACTGGCTACAGGAGAGATCCTTAATGCTTTGAAACCAGTGAATATATTTGGAAGGTTGAGTATTGTGCATACACTCTCCAAATGGCCACAATGGGGAGGAAGTTTGCCCATTTGTAAAATGGCTACTGTGGTGGGCATCTCAGTCAGAAAACACTCATTTCCAGAAGACAAACTGGTAAGAATAAAACCGAGGTAAATATCTCCAGAGGCTAATCCGAATTAGAATTAGCCTTGATGGGTCCTGTACCTCAAAACTATAACTGCTCCTTTGAACCTAAATAAAGATGTTCTAGAGGAGAGCATGCCACTTCCCAGTTTGAGAGAGAGAGAGAACCCCTTAAGAAATGAATTAAATTCAGGAGAGGTGGGAAGTCTGGCAGGCACCAAAGGAGGTGTCTGGGAATAGACTGATGCCCACAGGCTACCAAGTTTGTTTCTGGCCACCATTCATTGCACTAGTTATGTCCTGCAAGGTTCTTCTGTATGAACCTGCCCAAGTCTTAAGGTATTTTGGAGACTTTTAAGAGTGCCAGGCAGGTCCTCAGGAGAGAGCCTTCTCAGAAGTTGCCTCGAGGCTCTGCAGATCCTCGGCCTTAGTCCTTTCTCCAGTGATCATCCGGTGGCAGATGGAGACATTCTCATTTAGACAGGCTTTGGGCCTGATATGCTCGCTTCTCATGGACTCTGTAATTATGTTGCAACACATTCAACTGGCTATGAATAAACTGGTGTTCCATTTGTTCCATCTGCCTTGTTTTGATATTTGACATTTTTGCATTCTACTGCTATCTGCCCATTTCAATCCCATTTGGTGGAAAGATAGGATAGAATTGAAGCAAATGAATTAAAAATATTTTTCAAGAAGCACAGAGTTGTTCCTTTGTCCCAATTCCACATCAAGCTTAGGTAAAATTTTAATCTCAATGTAACCCTTATGATCTGGTTGGTGTAGCCTGGTAGGGATGGAGTTGAAAGAGAGAGAGGAAGAAAAGAGTCAGTTTGTTCTTGCTGCAGAGCTGACTAATAACTTGGCTCCAGCAGGTTGCAAGATAAACTGAATTTATGTGTGTGTGTGATTGATTTGCCAGAGGATGGGAATCAATTTTTGTATCTCTGGGGTTTGTTGTATTTGCTTAGTTCTTGCAGGCTTATGCCTGCAAGTTGTCAATTGCAATGCACCCCTGCTACTTGAAATCTGAGTTGTCTGTGGAAAAGCCCAACACCTTGGCAAACTAAATGGCCTGTTTACAGTGGCGCCTGGACAAAGTTCCAGGTATTTGGGGAGAGTTCATTCAAAAGGCAAAATCAAAGGGTTGTCCCAGATCCAAGCACAGAGAGACCCAGGGCAGTAGGGAGTTCAAGGTCCCATCACAAGGTGGTGGTAAGGCTTGCAGAAGAAAACAAGGCAGGAATCTAGGAGGTGGTACATAAATATAATTCCAGCACTCTATGCCAGAACTGAAATTTTAAGCTGAGCATTAAACAGGTCCACCCATGAGAGCCACCTGAGGCTGATCTACTCATGAATCCTGCTCATGAATAAAATCTATTCATGAGGAGTTCTTATTCCTTGGATGGGCAAGTCTACTTCTGGTAGACAGTTGAAACTGCATCTTTAAGCACTGGTGCTTCTAGCAACTAGTGGCCAGTTATCATCTGCCTTAGAGCTCATAAGAGGACTTGCTGCCTTTTCAGGGAAAGGTGTAAGAGGTATCTCCTGCAAGGACCCAGGATCCACCACACCTGTCTCAAGATGTCTCTGCAGAGGCAGTTCTTCCATGATGGGTTCTGGGGACTCCAGATGAGGCACAGCACCAAAGAAATACTGGGACTGGCAAGTAAGAATGCCATTTCTCTTGGACCAGAAGCGTCTAGTCTCTGAATTGTCCTTGCATTAAATAAACCACTTCTGCATGAGCTCAACTTGGGCAATTGCTGTATTGTTTTGTGGTTCTAACTAAAAATGTTTATTGAATTCAAAACTTTGCAAGTTTTCCTGCAAGTACAGCCCCAACCTCACAGCAGACAGCTTCTGATGTGATGCATAGGTGGGATAATATTGTGTTTAATTAGACTTTATGAGAATGAGAAAGACAGAACTGTGGAGTGCAGTGCAGTGCAGTGCAGTGCAGTACAGTGGACCTTCTTTATGTGAAGGTCCTTCTTCCTTATTTCAGATACTTTTACTGTGTAGTTAAAATAAAGCGTAGCCAGAAGAAGGTTTCATGTACCATGTTGGACCCTCCCAAGAACATGTTTTTGCTTCATATCAATAGATTCCCCGCCCCCCTCAAAAGTACATGAGGCAGATTCTTGCCATTGTTGTGCCTTAACTTTAGTCATGCAGGAAATTGCTAGTCCAAATAGAATAATCTTGAAAGTTCAAAGCCACCAAGAGGTATCCAAGGAACCAATGTGATTTGGGAACAAAAGTTAGACCTCTACAGATGTTGAATAGCCTTGAGAGGAGGTAGGGGAACACACAACACGCACCCAAGAGCATCTTGGGGATTTGCTATTATTTATCAAATCAACTGTAGCAATGTGGAAAAAATAATAATAAACCTACCACTGAGGACTGATATGAGACTCTATGCAAATGAGCAAGCTTGTTGGTTTCAGATGGATGTGCTTGGATAGCCAAAGTTGGTTCAGTTCTATTCTTGAAAGCTTGGCAAGCCTTTACATCCTTGTGCAGTGAATGCAATCTCAAAGAAGACTTATGGTTGTAAAAATGCTTTAAATGCAGTCTGTTTATTAATCATTCGCTCAGAAAAGGCTTTCCTTATGCATTGTGTTTCTGAGTTGTTCCTGGTTATAGTACTTCTAGCTGTTCAATACCAGAGTCAAAATGTGTCAAGATTATCCTTTTGATCTGCAGAGGGCACCAAATCGTTTTGTTTCTCATTTGAGAGTCTCAGATAAATGGGGATTCTATGGCTTGCAATTCTGGCTGTCTGTCAAAGAGGAATTTGCTCTCCAGTGGTCACTGTGAAGCACAGAAGATTAAGTAGGAGCATGTGTTTTTCTCCATTCATGAACATATAAAAAGCAATGCCTTTTTAATATACCATTCCTGCTCTCTCAGATGAATGGTGAAGAGGTGCTGTGAAGTGTTTTCGAACCTTTGATCCTGCAGCAGTCCCAGGACACAGGTGCAGATTGCAGACCCATTCACTTTAAATCAACAGGTGAATTATAAAATCGGGGCTGTCATGACCACATTCTCGTCATTCAATTTCCTTTCAGGAACGTCTGTAGCACTTGTTGCTTCCACCTGATTTCACTAGAGGGAGAAAAGAACTGAACAGAACACTGAACTACACGGACTTTTTTCCCGACCGAGTCGTGCTTGATCTTTGTCAGTAAAGAATATATAGGCATTTCTAATGGACTTTCTCCTTGAAGGAAGGTGTTGACATACTTGCTTGTCCACTTGAACTCTCTTCAGCTTCAACATGAACACAAGTGTATACTGGGCTCTTACATTTCAGCCTGTGATAGTAAACACCACTGAACACGTCAATGATTCCATTCTCTTCAGCAGCAGGAGTGCCGGCGGATTCTGTGAACAAGTCTTCATCAAGGCTGAGGTCTTCTTGACACTGGGAATTATCAGCATTCTTGAGAACATCTTGGTCATCCTTGCAGTGATCAAGAACGGAAACCTCCATTCACCCATGTACTTTTTCCTTTGCAGCCTGGCAGCGGCAGACATACTCGTGAGTATGTCCAACACCCTAGAAACCATCATGATCACCATCCTGAGCAATGGATATTTAATCCTTGATGACCATTTCATTCAGCACATGGACAATGCCTTCGACTCAATGATCTGTATCTCTTTGGTTGCCTCCATATGCAACCTTCTGGTCATAGCTATTGACAGGTACATTACCATTTTCTACGCACTCCGTTACCACAGCATCGTGACTGTGAAGAAAGCGCTGACTCTCATTGGCATTATCTGGATTGCTTGCATTGTTTGTGGCATCATGTTTATCGTATATTATGAGAGCAAAACTGTCATTGTCTGCCTCATCACCATGTTCTTTACCATGCTTTTCCTCATGGCCTCACTTTATGTCCACATGTTCTTACTTGCACGCTTGCATGTCAAGCGCATTGCCGCCCTCCCGGTGGATGGCGTTCCCCACCAGCGTACTTGTATGAAAGGGGCGGTCACAGTCACTATTCTCCTTGGGGTCTTCATCGCCTGCTGGACACCTTTTTTCCTTCATCTCATCCTGATCATTTCTTGTCCCACCAACGCACACTGTGTTTGCTACATCTCTCATTTTAACACCTACCTGGTTCTTATTATGTGCAACTCAGTCATTGATCCTCTTATTTATGCTTTCCGGAGCTTGGAAATGAGAAAGACATTCAAGGAAATAGTTTGCTGCTGTTGTGGCATAAGCTCAGGACAGTGCATGCTCTGAAGTGTTAACCCTCTACTGTCCTGGGAGACATTAAATGGTTAACCCTAACCTAAACACTGTTTCAAAACTGCCATATTGCTACTGCAGTGGAGGTTTGCGGCATCAACATCGGTGGGACTTTGTATCCAGTCCAGACTTTACTCTGAATGTTAAAGGAGCTATCCATGGAGCTGAGCCTATTTTGGGGTTGCATCAGCACCATAGATAACTCCATTAAACCTTGGAGTAAAATCCGGAGTAGATGCAGAGTCCCATTGATCCTGGAGCCACTAACCACTATTAATTAGCAGTGATCACAGAAAAATTAAAGGACTAGGACAGATAAGGACCAGAAATGTTTTTTTTTTTTCCTTCTTCCTTTTCTACCAGTTTGTCAAAGAGTAAATTTAAGCATTTTGCTTCTGTGTGTGCAGTGACAACAGAAACAAAATCACACAGGTTTTGAGGGGGGGGAAAGAGTGCCCATCAATTATATTACTGAAAGAAATGGATGTGTGTTTCCATAGTGGGCATCCTGCATTTCTCACATTTAAGTAGGAAAAATAATGTCAGGACATGTGCTTTGAAACCTTGACCTGGCTAAACTCTTTCCTCTATACAGCTATTCAGTGCTGGGGACTTCTAACACTGAAAATATGGCCAGTTCAGATGGGAATGTTTCCTTTGAAAGGGCAAATATTGCTGTTCTATACACATTTCCCTGGGACTAAGTTCCATCAGACTCAATGAGACCTACTTCCAAGTAGATGTGCATGGGATTGCAGGGTAAGGCTGTGATCCTATCCACACTTACCGAAGTAGGTACATTTGAAAACAGTGACTTAATTCCAAGATAAGAGCCAAAGGGCTGGGTTGTGTGACTGCAAATCTATGCAGCGTGAAAGCATCACTGAAGTTAGATGTTCCTTGTAAATCTGTTTAGGATTGCAAAGTTGTAATTTTATTATCATCCTTCACTAGCGATCAATTGCTTCTTTAAAGATAAGCATGAGTATCATTTAAGAAAACAAAGCTTGAGCAACCTGTATAACAGAATCCATTTTTGTCAGAAAAAGGCAAGCTAGGAAAAGAATTGCTTTGAAAGAGATGTTCAGTAATTAATGCTGTGTTCTTAGAACAAAGACAACACAGGTGAACAATTTTCACTGCTCACCGCCCATTCTGGTTGCTTAACAGATGCAAGTAAATTCCAGTTCATAGGAATTTGGAATCGTGTCATAGGAGTGAGTCTTTGTCTTTTAAAGTGATGTGAGTAGCAACTCTTGGAGAGGACAAAAAAAGAATTGTTACTTTCATTGTTTTCTTACTTTCACAAGAAGAGATCCATGCAATCATTTCTGCTAACAGGACTACCAAAATACCATACACACACATCATTGTGAGCGAAAGTATGGGATCAGTTAAAATAGTTATTTTAGAAATTCTGGGCATTTTATTCTGTGTTCTGCATCTTGATATTAGGAGTTAAAGCTTGGCAGGAGATGCAAGGTTGGAAAGGAATCCGGACAGAATTGGCTCTAAAGAAAGAACTAACATATGACTGAATTGTGAAGGAATACACCTGCCCTCTCCAATCCAATACTATTCCTGTCATCCCTAGGGAGTATGGTATCGGCTATACCAGTTTAGGATCATGGGAGTTGCAGTGCAAAACATTTGATGAGCACTAGAAGGAAGGCTGGTATACCCTAAGCAAAAAATAAACTGAGGAAAGAACTGTTTCCCAGTTGCAAGAAAACTTCCATGTAGCTATTCAACTTCTCTATCCTATACCTGGTACAGAGGCATGCACCACTGAATTCAGTTGGACTTTATTCCAACCAAGTGAGTGAATTGCAACTGAAATATATTATCTCCACCCATTTATCCAAAGCTGGCTGCTTGCAGGTTTAGTTGGATTATGGGTCTGATCCAGTCTAGAATGTTCCCAATTTTCCCCCAGTTTCCCCAGTTCTGCTGCTGAAACAGTTTGCTGTGTGTGCTTGCTTGCATTGCAGTGTGGAAAGGCATTGCCCAGGCAGAGACATCACAACAGGAAACTGATAAGAAAGGAGAGCCCTCACTGAGAGAAGAGAAGGTGATGGTCTAATCCTGTGCTGTTTCAGTGCATTGGAAGATTTTTACATCTTCATAAGTGCATTGTCAAACATTTCTCTCTCAGCTTTTTCAGTGATTCTGATTCCAATTGACAGAACATAAACTTCTTTTGAAAATATATTCAATGGAGAAGAACATTTCTAAGAAATTCTTATGGGGTATGTTCTTGTGTTCATGAGGTGTCTAAGGATTAGGATGCATGAATGTCCAGTCTTTCATTTGGCAGCTTGAAGCCTCTGCAGCTACCAAATTTCCATTAATGTTATGGGGTGGCCACTTTTCTTCTCTTCTCCCATAAAACCCCAGAATACTAGGTATGGGAAATTATGGGGGATGCAAAATGGAGCTAGTGCTGTTGCCAGTTAGAGTGGCAACAGAACACACATTCATACACACATCACTGAGAAATTCAGTAAAATTGTCTCCTTAATATCTCTGCCAACAAAAAAGGTGGAATTTTGAGAAGTACACAGCAAGGACAATGTTATAATTCTTAAAAACAGTTTCTCTGTCACCTGAAAGCCTGGAACTTTTTGTTCTTGTTCCCATACGTAGGGTTAAACAAAGGCACAAATTGGTGATAGCTACAAGCCCTTCATTTAAAGCATTGCCCTTTTATTTCCTGCACTTAGGAGTGCAAACTTGAGACCTGTAGACCAAATGCCACCTTCCTGGCATCCCACTCTAAGCTCACCCTGGGTGAGCTTCTTGGCCTCTGGACAGTTGTTTCTCCATGCTAAAATGCTTCCCTTGAGGCTTGGTCACCAGCATCATTTGTATTTGGATTCAGGGGAGCAGCTTTGTATTTCATAGCTTAGACTCTACCCTTGCCTTGTACTTTTTCCTAAGGCTGTAGGAAGATGCTTTCCTTTTAGCTCTCCACTTTGCCTTCTGGAAAACTGGTGTCATGTCAATAATGGTAACTATTTTATGAATGGGTACCTTTCTTTCAGGACTGCAGGTGGTGCAGTGGTTTAAACTGCTGTGCTGCTGGGCTGGTTGATCGAAAGGTCGCCGGTTCGAATCTGCACAACGGGGTGAGTTCCCATTGCTCCATCCCTGTGCCTGCCAACCTTGCAGTTCGAAAGCCTGCAAATGCAAGTAGATAAAACTTGCATGGGCAGGTAACAGCTTTCCGTGCACTTTGGTGTTTAGTCATGTGGCCACATGACCACGGAGACAGTCTGTGGACAAACACTGGCTCTCTTGGCTAGGAAATGGAGATGAGCACCGCCCCCTAGAGTCAGGCATGGCTGGAATTAATGTCAAGGGGAAACCTTTACCTTTACCTTACCTTTCTTTCATGAAAGCCATTTTGTGAGAGCACCCATCATGACAATCTCTCTAAATCCCAAATAAGGCCAATGAACCAGAAGGTTCGGGGAGCACAGCCTTGCAATGTCCATAGAAGGTCCACATTCATAGGGCCATCTTGGGATGGATGTCTGTAGGGCAGAGAAGGTGCCAACAGTGCTTTCTCCTTTCTCTCTCTCCTCACACATTATATCCAGTTTGGAATGCCTTGTGAGACCATCAGAAAAGTAGCCTAAGGTGTTTCTATGGCTACCCTATTATTTTTGAACATGACTGCAGTCATGTTCAAAAATTCTGACTTGGGGGAACCCTTTCTATCTTTGTCCCATGAACCTCTGTAATTCTCCCATGAAGCTCTGTGTAGCAAAGGATTCCGGGTACTATGCTAGGGTGAAGACTAAGCTTACAAGGGGCACATGCCAGGGCTTTTGCCTAATGTCTGAACTGAGAGGGTGCCAGAAACTTACCCCTCTGTATGGCAGTATTCTTCGTGTTGAGAAAGATCCATCATGCTTTTCTAATAATTTTTTAGAGATTATGCCATAAACTGAGCCTTTCAAACTATGAGACATACTTAATCAGTAGGATGGGGGACAGGAAGGTGTGCTGTGGTGACCAACCTGGTATTCCTTGGATGAAAGATTTCTCTACATGAGGAATTCATTTTGTGCTCATGTTTCCCTACATTGCTTGTAGGTGTTTTTCATATTGTCATCCTCCAACCTTGTGCTTGTGTAAAAGAACATAAGGCAGAGAAAAACCCTACAAAACAGGCATATGTAAAGGAGACAAACGTAAACCCACAAAGTGTCCAAAAGCAGAAGCCTCAAGTAAAGTGGCAGACTTCAAGCCTCATGTACAGAAGCTCGATGTTATGGACTCTATAGGGCACCAACAGCCCAAAGTTACCCTTTGAAGAAGAACTATTGCTCAATGGTATAACACCTGCCTCACATCCAATTGCCAGCATCTCCAAATAGGGCTGGGAAAGACCCCTGTTTCAAACTGTTGCAAGCTGCTCAGGGTGGAAGAGGAATTTGCCTGAGCATCAGAGTACAGAGTATGTCACAGTTGTTCAGCTGCTTGATTGTAACCTGCTCTCTTCTATTGAACAATTCCACCTGTTTTGATATTAAACCTCAGCATAGTTTCTTAAGGTACGCCATCTATTGTATTTTACTTGGGGAGTTGTCATTTTAATGTCATTGTTGTAAGTTCATTTACTTTGTACTTGACATTCTCTGCTGAAAAAGTAATTATGTCTCAAATAAAGCTGATCTGTAGTCATCTGCCAGGTGCTCTGTGTTTTACATGATATTAATGCTTGTGAACTCAGCAAATGACCAGGAAAGTGACAACAGGGATTACTATTCCATCCCACTGAAATGAAGTCAATGGCCACTGGATTAGCTCTTGAGCAATCTTTGTGCCTTAAACCAAGCCAAACAAGCCATTTAAAATGTACCTGTTTGCAAATATCCCTTTACAATATGGCACAATCAAAATTACAGATTTCACAGGAAAAGGAGCTCTTTGTAAGTCTGAAAACTTTGTAATGCATCCTAAGGCCAATTCTGTGCTACTTTGCT